TGACACATACGCGCCAACGTCTCAAGTCCTCTGGCTCGAACTGCGGTGGATCGGCTCAGGTTCAGTGACTTAATGCCTAATGTAGAAACGGTGCCGTCTAATGCTAGACGTAAAACGACGTCGTCGTCGAGTTTGGGACAGACGGAGAGGTCGAGGGAAGAGAGATTTGGGTATTTGAAGAGAAGCGTCGGGAGAAACTCGACCCGGAGGATTCGGATCGTGGTTCGACTCAATGAGTCGACTCGGAGGAAGTCTTTGCTGATTAAACGCCATGTTTTCCGACACGGTGGGTCTAGAAATTCGTAGACTCGGACAAGAAGATCTTCCGACAAAACGGATAAAATTGATGGAGACATCGACATTTGCAACAGAACCAAAAAAACAAACAAACCCAAAAAAAAAAAACGAAACTTTTTTCTCTTCTGTTGGATTCGAAATCGGAAAAATTGAAACTTTTTTTTAAGTGGGAATGAAGAGAAACACAGCTCGGAGATAGAGTAAAGAGTGGTGAACCGGTTTTTCTAAGATCCGAATTCGGTTAACGGTTTTCAGTTTCGGGTTCATCACGCCGATTAGTCGGATTTTTCCGGTGGGAAAAAACAAAACCGAACTTCTCTATAAATTTTAATTTTCCCTTTTTGTTCTCATATATAAAGGAGAAGAAAAAAACTGAGGAAGACGAAGAAGAAGAACACGTAAAGACGAAAACACCCCTGAATCTAATTAGTACGGAGACAACTCAACAAGTGTTTTGTTTTTTTGGAGTCAGAGATGTGTTTACGCGTGGTTACTTATCCACGTGGCGATATCTCAACGGTTGGTTATGGAGGCTTTATTGTTAGGATCAGAGGATTTGGAGCAGGTGATTATTACACAACTGTACCGAAATTAGGTCTGCACCACTTGCGGGTCCCACGTAACGTGCATCGACCGTACCTATCTGTTTGACCCAAAACTATATGATAAAAATGAAAAATAAATAAATGAAGAAATCATATTCGTTTGTCTGACGTGGATAGTACGCGAGATCGTCGTGGAAGATCACAAATTGCTATTTAAAAAACGATGTCGTGTAATAAGTTAACTAAAAAAACATTAAGAATAATTAATAATCATTTTAAAATCTTATCTGGAGATTTATTCGAAAGTTTGCAACGTTAAACGTAACAGCATAGAGCCATAGACCATGCCGCTTTCACGTTGGGATTTTTCGCTGAAGTATTAAGATAAGGTTAGAGTTTATGTTTTTTTTCTTTAATATTCATTGCATGCACCTACTATTGATAAGTTCTAACCAAAGTAATTTAATACTTTTCCAGCTTTAAAATTTACATATCGAATTTTATGTACTTCGTGTACGGAATTCGTCAGAAGTTGACATTTGTTTAGGCTAAGACATGCATACGTGATCAAACTTCTATCTGATTATTGAAATATAAATATATACTCCAAGTCTTTTATTCTGCAATCTGTATTTTCATATTTTTCTAATTCTGATTGAAATAAATAAACTACCCATATTTGGATTAATAGGAAGAGAATTCACGATCATGGAGGATAGTCGCAGAAATTTTTGGACATGTTTATGCATTGGTCACATATGTTGCTAATGACTAATAAGTTTTCATTTCTCCTTAAAATTTTATTTAGGCGTGTAACTTATATTTCTTGTTTTTTCATACATGTATGTGACTATTGAAATCTTATTTAGATTAATGTGTGCTTCAACAGGAGGTAGAACTAAATATGAGTTTTAGTTTGTCTAATTAATATATAAACTCATATTTGTTCCACCACCTGTCAATACACACTTAATCTTAAGAATAAGATAGTCGGTAGTAACGTTTAATATATATCTTTAACTTTTATATAATCCCTTATATATTAATTGAGAAGCATTTTTAAAATATAACCTTACACTCATGTGTGATTAACGAAAATGCCATGCTGACGTGTCGTTCTCACAGAGCTTCTCAATCTATTTAGTTAAAGACACAACATTTATTAGGATATTTACATATTTTGCCATTAGTTTTACTTATGTTTATTTTTTCTAATTAATTTATGCTTTTTATTTTTCTCAATTAAAACAAAAATACAATTAAAAATATGTAATTAAGAGATACAAATCTATACAAAATGGAGTACTTAATATTTTGTGTATCTATTAATATAACAAGATATATATTATAAATCATGATAAACATAAATGAAAATTTTCATTAATCTTGATAATCATTAATACACTACCGTTTATCTAACAATATAAAATTCGAACACCTTCAATATTATCAATATATTAAAATATATTTAATAATCGTTTTGTCCCGCACATAGTGCGGGATATTATCTAGTTGTCTTATATTTATAATCTTCGTACTAATTGTACATGTAATATAGACTGGTTGAGACTTTTTCAATAACTAGTTTGTCACTAAAATATTTAAATAATGATTGAACGGATGATATCTGGGAAATTAATATGCGATTAGTTGACACTTTCCTGTCTTTTATTCGATTTCAGTCTCAGGTCAAACAAATATATTCGATTTTACGTTCATGTTAATGTTTCAACCACTCCAACCTTAAAAGGTTGTAAAAATTGCGTTTCAATCAATTAAACTTTAATTTTGGTTGATTTAAGTAGCTTTTCAAGTTTTTAATATGGTAAAAGTAAGAGAAGTTATAGACAACGACTACTATGTTTTATTATCATCAAAAATCTTGAGATTCCAAAAATATATACTTCTAATATATGGTTTCAGGTTGCTAAAAGGACCAAAAATATATATGTTAGAATATCCTTGAAAAAATATTTAACTATCTCAAATTCATGTATGTGTTTTTTTTTTTTTCTTTTGTTCAACAATTAATTATATATGTATGTGTCTAAAGAACGAATATTTGGAATTTTTTTAGGAACGAGTGATATAAACTTTATTTTAGAAAACCTTTTAAAATGTTTTGCGAGTTGAGTCTCTATGGACAGCCTAAAAGGAGCCATATTGTAACATGTCGTAGGCTGGTCCGAGGAATTCGTATTTAAATTTTAAAAATCATATATGAATCCATAGATAAGATGTTAAAATATATATATATAAGGAGGAAATAGTTTAATGTATTATTGGTTGTGATGTACCTGACCAGAATAAGATCTACCCGAAGTGAGCCTAGAAAAAAGATGACGACAAAGGTGAAAGACTTACCTTGATCTACAAGTTGCGAGATTCTCGCTTCTCACGTTCTTCTACTTCATTGACTTCATTTCGTTGACCTTTGGCTTGTAGAATGTAGAGGACCAATGGACCAATATTTTTTATCCTTTTATCCTCTTTTAAATAATAGTCATGTTATTTTCTTTTTGTTAAAATAGTCATGTTATTTTCTTTCAATGTTAAAGAGAAAAAAAGAATTCGTCATGTAAAATATATGTATACATTTATATCCTTTGATCATATTACAAATAGAGTTTTATACAACCCAATTGTAATTTTTTTTTTAAAGACGCAAACAAAAAAATCGCGTAATAATTTGAATACATCATAGAAATGAAGAAGAAATTAAAAAAAAAATCAAAAAAATCTCAAATAGCCATAGATTTTAGAATAATTAAGATCTAATATAAAGGAGATTATGAAACGTGGAGAGATATATACGTACGTGGATATGATGATGTGGTTCCTTTCGTATGATATATACATTGATTGATTTAGATCTTGGTGAAGAGTGGTGGGGATTTTTATATAGAGAAACTTATGATGATGATGATCACATTTTGTTGGTCTTGGACTACATCGAATATGTAGATTTTGTTCATATGATGACATCAAATGCAAATATGAGTTCATTGTGTTTCCAAACAAAGAATATGAATCTATGTTACTGTGTCACCTCAAATATTATGGTCCATATAAAATTTTCAAAATAATTACCATACATTATATATATATATATATATATATATGTGCACATATATGTTCATTTTGTTCTACTGCTCCAATTTGCAATCGAATCTAGCGCATATATATGTTCTCTACTTGCCATGTCTTGTCACCAAATTATGTGTTAAGGTTAGAGTCATCGTCTATTGCTTTAGGTTCTTGTCCTCGCAGCGCGGGTTTTGTACCATTGGTTGACTGAATTAAATAGATAAATTGGATTAAACCGGCTTGTTTTCCATCACATTTGAGCCTTTGGCCTCTGAAATTATGCAATTTTAGGGTTTGATTGGATTACGTGACTGCTGCAAATGCAAGATTTTGCGGAAGCAATGTTTATACGGTTTTAAGCCATTAAAATATTTATACGATTGGTATAACGGCTGAAAATATATGTGTTTGCGGGATTTTTGTTAACAAATGGATACAGTAATAGTTTAACATAAAATTCATAATATGTAATTTACACTATTAAATAAGCAACAAAAACTACTTTATTAAACATGGTGTTTACTAAGTGCATGGTTGTATGATAATCAATAACCACATATGGAAACAAGAAAGTTTTGGAAGACTTTATTTCGCAACAAGGAAAAGCTAAAGTTCTATGAATAAACTCTCTCTTTGCATTGGATGATGTTTACAGTCTTGAAAGGGTTGGGCATTGCAGTTTGCATCTAGGTGTTACAATCGTTTTGGTTTAAGTACAAATCCATATTTAACATCTCATTAAGTGAATAACCTCTCAGTAGATACACTATAATATATGATAATGTAACCATGCAATCTTGATTTCTACATTATACTATAGAATCTATTTGACATTTATTTTTCATGGGTTATATTCAAACCAGGAAACTAATGTCACTTACTATTGCCTTTGATGTCGAACAAAAACGTTACTTGCTGGTTTATAAAATATTGGATCAAAATAATGTCATCTACATGACTACATCACAAATTCAGTTACAAGCAATGGAAACAAAATCAAATTGGGCCAGGCCCATTTAATAGAAGGACACCCAACATTACAGAACTACCCACTTTAGTCCATTAGAAATTTAGAATGTTCCCGTTTTATGATTTTTTTCTTATGGTGTACTTCGTTGTTCCGTTCAACTTATGTAAACAATGAGACATTGAGAAGATAAATCAACTCATGATGGCTGCGACCAAAAAATCACATTTCGGATTTCAAGATGAAATGTCACAACTGTAACGCTATTTACAACGCAAAGTTTTACTTTAAAGTCGTGGCATGATGATGTTGTGATAGAGATGACGATGAAGAAGAATGGAGGAAAAGGCAGACCACAGACATATCGTCCATGGAGAATCCTCGTCTCTTTTTCTTCCAAGCCCGAACCGCTTGCTCTACTAACCGCTTAGCCGCTTTAGGCCGCTCAGCCGTCGAGGAGACGATCTCTATAGCCTCTTTGTTAGAGATCACATCCCATATCTTTTATATTCAAACCAAAAAGAAATTAAAAGACTCATTAATAACTTTGCCGATAAACCAAGTCGATTCAAACCGATTCAAAAAAGTACGTATATAAAGCAATAATATTTATTATGTTTAAAATTAAATGGTTCTTTCATTTTATTTTATTTTTGCTAACTAAATGGTTCTTGACTTCTTTCATTCAAAATAAAATAAAATTAAATGGTTCTATTTTATATGTATGTCTAAAAAGACACACACCTATATACATTTGAACTTTATAACTAACTAAACATCAAAGCCGAATCGAAACCACCCAAATTGATACATAATACAGTAGATCTACTATATAGTATATATCGATGATTAATTTTCCTAAAACCAAAAAACTCAAACCTAGGTGAACCAAAATTGGGATTAAAAATTCCTAAATCAAATATTCCCATTGTTTTTCTTTTGATATTACCAAGTCTTATTCAAATGTGGTTATTTCTTTTCTTTTTCAAATTGACCTTTTATAACTTTTTGAATATTTTAAGAGTGTGTGGATGGATTATATTTTGTTTGGTTAAAGGTTTATAAGTATTTACCCCATCACTAGCCAAGATTATGAAGTGGTCTTTAGTAGAGATGTGTCTTTGATTGACTTCAGGGACTGAGACCAATCCATACTCTTTGATGCAGTAGTCTCCGAACGCTCTTGACATTGCGAGCCCCGGTGTTTCTGCGTCCGGTTGCCACACACGGTGGACTCCCGGCTCATCTTCTAGACAGAAAACCCGCCCTTTGCAGCCAATTATCCGCTCCTTCTCCTCTGTTTTTTTTTTTCAAAGCAAACCAAAATTCAAGATTCATATTTTATTTGGTACTCTGATTTCTAAGACCACGGAATTTAAAACTTCCGAGATCTAGTATGGTAAAAATGCTAGCTTATGGATTTTAAGAGGGATTAAGAATACTAACGTGGTAGATTCGGTTTGAAATCAAGGGTGAGCTGAACCGCAACCAAGCTTCCCTCATCCGAAACCGTGGCTAGTACCGCTCTTGAATCACCTACATTCGCGACATAAATAACTTCACCCTACATACACCAAGAAACCATTAATCAATGAACATATATAGATTCTCCAAAACGTTTACTAACAATTAGAAACTAATATTCATTTTAAGTTTTACCTGTCTGACAATGGTTAGAGCTGTTGTGCCGCTGTAGTAAGCATCGATCTTGCGGTGATGTTCAAGCTCTTGATCAACCGTTGCACATGTTTTGAGATAGGATTGCTTCCATATGTCGAATCTTGAGAGTTTTTTATTAGAGCCTTCGAGGTCAAGCTCGGGCTCTAGGGTGGCCTTGGCAAGAATCTTTTGCCAGTTACAGAGAAGCGATGAAGGCATTGAGTTTCTTACTTGCTTGGCTACATAGTGACCCCATGGTCCATGCCCATCGAATATCCCACAGAAGATCATATCTTCTTGGCACCCAAATCCCTATTTACCAAAGATAAATGAAACTTTTACAAAAACAAGTACTTTTACATAAGAGTATTGTGAAAATAGGTAATTTAAGACGCAACGAGAAGCTATTAACATACTCGTAACGCGGTAAATCGCATAAAGGATTATGAAAACGCAGAAAAAAGCGCGAAAATAGTAACCTAAGAGAGTATTAATGTACCTCCCAAACGAGTGCACAATCCTGGTTAACGCCTTTTTCGCCGCGTTTGGAGAAAACAGAGGCTAAATTATTAGATCCTTGTGCATTAACATAACCAGATGATTTCAGAATCAGTTCTTTCTTCTTCGCCTCGTTCGCCATCTCATCAGCAGCTTCTTTTGCATCGCATTTTCCATTGTTGTTCTTCACTTTCTTTATCGAAAACGATCGAGCTAATCCATTGAACATCGATGAGAAATGTCCCATCTTTTAAATACCCCAAAGATGACTATATTAAGCAACAACGAGTAACTTTCTCGTTAAGCTTAAGATGATCCTGAAATTGAACCAAAATATATAGGAAACCAAAAATTGTTTAGAAACTTGGATAATTCAAAGAGCTAGAGGGAGATAATATAATGTCAAAAATACAAATAAATTCTTTTTTTTTGCTAGGAGAAAAAAACAGAGGTTAAAACTTAAAAGTAAGAAGATGAGTCATAGTGTTGAGAATCTAGACACTTTAGAAAACAACAACAAAAATTGAACTTCAAGTGGAATATTCATAAGTCTGACATGGAATTCCATTGAAACAAGCTTCTGAGATTATGTTTTGATATAAATATGAAAAATGATTTTGACTTGAAGGGAAATAGAGTTTCTGTTTAAAGTAAACACATCTAGAGATATTTCTTAATAAAGAAATGAAAAACAAGTTGCAAGATTCCAAGATTCTACTCTTTTGCTTTTTCCGGGAAAACTAACAAGAAAATAATATGAGAACTTTCTCAGCATGTTGTTGCTTAATACTATTTTTAAATATGAACACCTAAAAGGCAAAAAGAACCAAACACACTTAATCTCCATAGATTTGCTTCAAACACAAGTTAAAAAAAAAAAAAGCTTTTCTGATTTATAACCATTAAATAAGATAAAATTCTAAAGTTGAGAGACAAAGGAGCAAAAATCTTCATTTCACCCAAAGTGACAAAGTGAGGACCAATTTTACTCAAAGTTTTTACTTTTTATATCAAGAACTAAAAACCTTAGTTTCTTAGGATTCAGAAGTGGAAATTATTGAAGCTCTAAAATAAATAAATAAAATGTTTATTGAGAAAAGGAAAAAAGACAGAACCCAAGAAAGGTTTCTCTTCAGCTTTCATTTGGATCTTCGTTTTCTCAATTTGTCATAGACCAATCCGATTCTTCTTACATGTATAAAGAGAAGGAGAGAAAGATTTAGACCTTTGAAATGGTACGTAAGGATAAAAGCTGAGGAACGCCGGAGAAATGACGTAAGCTCGGGAAAAGACTCAGCATCCACCGGAGAAGAAGAATTAGCTAATGGAGCGACGACGAGAGAAAAATATCAGAATCCATTTAATGGAAAAATTAAGGAATGGAGTTGAAATTATTTTTAAGAATAGTTAAAAACTTTTTTTCTGGTACGTTGTTTTCTCTGTTTATTTTTTATCTTGTGGCAGGAGAAAGGACAAAGAAGTAGCACGACATTGTCGTCTTTGGGTTTGGTCTTTTGTGGTTGATATAAAATCATAATTATTACATTTCTCCACGATATTTTGTTGATTATGTATGTATTAAAATGTATGGTCTCAAAATAAATTAATTGGTTGATTCGGAACAATATTGTTTGGGATTATACGAAACAACGACAACTACAATTATATCTTGTCGATCGACCATAACAAATTTTTGTTTGGTCCAAAAAAAAAAAGAGTTTAAATGGTGTTAAGATTTGATATTTACAATTATTTGATAGTAAAAGATTATTGTCAGAAAAAAAATAATGAATAAAATTATGTACATGTCCCAATCGTTACATCAAGGGTCAAATAAAACAGATCCATTAGACCATCTGCATTGGGGGATCACCCCCCCTGATCTAAGCATTATTTAAATCTAAAAAAATGGGTTAATGGGCTTAAGATCAGGAACTGGGCTCTTGACCTGGATCTGTTCTTGTGGGTGTTGCGGGGTGACGTGGCATTTGGGCATTGGTTAGAATATTCAACATATTTGGAATAAATTTGGATAATAAACTATGTATTAATTAGATAAAATGTTTTTGTGCTTTTATTAAGTAATATGTTTGTTTGTTTATTGTTATTTATATTTTTAATATTTTTTTCATAAATATTTAGTATTGTATTTTCACTTTTATTTTCAGTTTTTCATAAATTTGGCATTTGCAATTTATATGTTATTTTTAAATATTTTAATAATTGTAAAATCTTAATTTAATTTAGATTATTATATTATTAAGTCTTAAGATCTTACACATGTTCTCCCACTAATCAACTTCTAAACAAAAGATCTAAACACATGATCTTACATTATTTTAACATTATATTCTCTATAAGAACACCCTCACATGATCCCCCATTGATGATGCCCTTAGAATTCAGTAACTATCACAATTCTTCGAGAATAATAATCAAATATTTTTCTGATAAATATTTTTTTACTCTTCACTTATGTATTTCTTTTCTGTAATTATAGTTCCGTTATGGTTATTTAATTATTTTTTAAAGTTGTTTTTGTGGTTAATTATTAACTTAAATCATATATTGGTACAAAATTAGGTAAGCGAGAGTTACGAAAAATATAAAATTGGACAAGCAAGTAAAGAAAATCGAATTCCATAGTTGGGGAATCCAATCATACATATATAATGTTATCATTGATATTAATTATTAAAAATTGTTATGAAATATATTACTACTTTTAATTGGCATTGCGTCATATGATTATCGTGGTAACTATTTTCCCGCATGTCAACGACACCAATTTAAACTAAAATATTCAAATTTTGTTATTGAGGTGAATATTTAAATACATACGTGAGCATAGTTGATGTATTATAGTATATACGTATATATGATTAAAATATTATCAATTATTTCTCTAACCGAATAAAAATGAGATCAATATCCAACCTAATTTTAAATTTATAACTTTCACTTTATTTATGCAGATGTCAGTTTGATTAAAATTAATTGTGTAAGTTACAATGCTTTACGATCACTTTTAGACTTAGATACCTTTCTCACCAATTAGAGTTCTTTCTTGGCGTTGTGCTAAAAGGTTTGCCATTAGTAGGTTATCAATCATAACAATAAAAATAAAATAATGGTACTAAAAATAGAATCACCAAAAAATAGTGTTACAAACTAACTGTTATCGATGTTATGATCCGCAACTACCTATACTAGTAATTTTGCAGTCATTTTTAAGTTAGATGGGTAAAATTGTTCTCCGATACTTTGGATACCCAATCCGTTTACAAATTTTGATCATAAAAAGTTTTTTGGGTCGGGTTATAATTAACCCAATTCATACACCGATATTCCATATTTAATAATTTAGATATTTAGAAGATTTGATTAAGATTTATAATTATGATTCTTCTATCATCTTTGTTTGATTTGTTTTTAACTATTTTGAATCATCATATAATAAATAAAGTAAAAAATATCAAAAAAATTTCTGCATATACTGTGATTCGAAATTTTAAAAACGGACATATATTATCCAATTGACGAAAATGTGTGTTCAACGTTCTATATCGATTAAAATATTTAGACAATGATTCAGAATCATATCATAAATAAAATCAACATTAATAAAATAAATGAGTTTTCTTCATTAAAAAAAAAATGATTTTTTTGGCTGGACGGGTTTGGCGAGACGGGTTTTTGAATCAACAATAATAAAAAGATTAAAATATCATTAATCCGCCGCTTCAATACGGATTAAATCCTTAATATTTTTTTAATACCACCAATATTAGACATATTAAATCAGTCTCATTTAGAAAAGATTGTATAAAACCAAAAATTATCTCGTGGTATAATGTTACTTAATAACAATTGTAAACTATAAAATATAAATATCTTAGAAAATGATACAATTTGTAAACTTTTATATATAATAAATAATCGTGAAATTTTAAAAATTACTACTTTAGAAAACAAATAACGGGACGGGTTAAGAAGTTACAGGACGGGTTATATTTCGGAACGAAGTTATATGGTGGACGAGTTTGAATCAATATTTATAAAAAAATATCATTAACATGCCGCTTTAATACAGATTAAATCTTCAGTTTATTAAAATATAAATGCTTTAGAGAATGATATGATTTGTAAACGTTTATATATAATAAATAATTATTAAATTTTAAAATAAAAACAAATCACGGGACGGATTAAGAAATTACGGAACGGGTTATATTTCGGAACGGGTTATATTTCGGAACGGATTTATATGGCGGACGAATATGAATCAATATTTATAAATATTATTAACATGCCGCTTTAATACGGGTTAAATCCTCAGTTTATTAACAATTATTTCGTGGACTCATGGTATACCGTTACTTAATAACAATTGTAAACTATAATAGAAATAAATATTTTATAAGGAGATACAATTTACAAAATACTTTTATACTAACTTTAAAAATAAATCATCCCGCAGTATACCGCGGATTAAAATAGTTAAAATGGTATACTAGTTAATATTTAAAAAGAAATATTAAGATCATCTCCATTATAGTCTTAACATATAATTAAAAAGAAATATTAATATTGTAAAATATTTATTTTAGAGAATGTGAAACACTATGTCTAAAGTGTCTTTTATTTATACATTTTTGGGAATCTATAGGCGGTGACCACAGAGGAGTTGGAAATTAACTGACAGGATTTTGTACTATTTGGCCATCGACTGTAGCCAAAAAATGACCAATAAACCCCTATTTTCCTATGATCTAATAAAAGAGATATATGCAGGAAAAGTAGCCGTGTGTCAGAACAAAGATATCATATCTCTCCAAAGATTTGATTTTCGAGATTTCTTTAAGAATAAGATTTGTATTGTATTATTCATGAGAACGGTGAGAAATCGAAGGATCGTGTTTTTTGGGCTCTATATCAACTGCTTTTTATTTTTTTTCTCAGTGTTTTCAATTTTCATCTATCTCCGAATTTTCTTTTTTTTCTCCGATATTCATATCGATTCTTCAATCGAGTTGCTGCTTGTTTACGATTAGTTTGTCAAAGTAAGTATCTCAATTAAACTTTATTTTTGTTTAATGTTTTCGGATCTATGTCGTATTTTTTGTTCTTAGATTGTTTTTATTTCTGGGTTTTATAGATGGGAGATACCTTCATCATTGTCTTATCGGTGGTGGTGAAGAACCCCTTGGAGAAAGGGCCAATGTGTACTACAAGATGAAAATTCTTAGAGGCATCATCGACTCGTTGGAGGAAGAACGAAATTCAGTTAATCAGAGATTCATCA